AGTTTTAGTTTTTAAAATTAAGTTATGACATGTTCCACTCATACACCTATCATTCTATATAATAGTCAAACTTTAAATGTAAACATGCATTTGTAAAACAATAGGCCTATTTGATATTAACGAACATACCGTAACTAGTGTAGAGTTATCGCAGTGCGACATTAGGCAGATTTGTATTGGCGCAAAAAAATAGCTTTAATGCAATAATAATAATAATAATAATAATAATAATAATAATAATAATAATAATAATAATAATAATAATAATAATAATAATGATAATAATAATAATAATAAATTTAGCATCTGAAAATAGATCAGTTATTGGCAGCCATTGACTAAAAAAATCTAATTGGCATATTACATCTTATGATATTCTTATATATTTATATATTAAATTGTATTATATTATGTTGTGTATACATCTTAATTTAGAAAAATTAGCCATTATCATGAAATATTTAAACTAATTGAAGCATTAATTTAAAGAGAATCTATGGTCGACCATTCCTTTAGGTATACTTACCATTTCTTTTTGTTTCTTTTCCTTCCAATTAAATAGGCTGAGTTTGTTGTGTTTGGTTTTATTTTCACCTTTCATTTCTATTCCTTTCTTTCTTTTTTTCTTTTCCTCTCTCTTTTCTTTCCCTTCCTTTTGTATTCTTTTTTTTTTGTGTTCTTTCTCTTTTGGTTTCTTTTCTTTTTTCTTTTCTTCTTTAGGACCTATTTCTTTCTTTTTCTTTTTTGTTTTGTTTCAATTTATTTTTCCTTTCTTTTGTTTCCTTTGTTTTCTTTTCTTTCATTTTCTTTTCTTCCCTTTCTTTTTCTTTATTTCATTTTTTCTTCTTTTCTCTGCTTTCTTTTCATTTCTTTCTTTTTCTTTCTTTTTATTTGTCATCGATTACTTTTCCTTTCGTTTTCTTCTAATGTTTTCATACACTATAATTTCTTGTCTTTTTTATTTCCTTTCTTTCATTTCATTTCTTTTCTTGAGTTTTCGGAGGCGATCAAATTGTAGGGCACTCCCGTGAATGAGAGGTGCCACTGATTAATAACAAACTTGAGGCCTATTTGTCATCTACAGATGTTGTATGGAATCTAGTATTTGGTGCAATAATAGCATGCCCTTTGTTATAGGATTAGGATAGCCATATACTACCCACTCGTTCCTTAGCGTATAATAAATGGCATATATTTTTAAATTCAATTAAATTCAGAAATCATTTATTTTCATTTCATTCATAAACATAACAGAGTTTTACATACAAACAGGAGCGGACCCAGAAGTTTTGGTTAGTGGGGGCTATAGGTATATGTGTAAAGCGCCTCCAAGTGCCTGCGGAGGCTAGGTTTGGGAGGAGGTGTCTGTATGTATGTGTGTGTGTGTGTGTGCATGTAATACTTGTACAATGGAGCTTTTATTTAGTATCTGTATATAATTGAAGAAGAAATATGTGGTAGACACCATTAAAAATAATAACTGATGCCTAGTTGTTGTCAAGTGCAAGTGGATTTGAATAATTATTCATTCATTAAATAACATTTATTTCCCTAAATGTTAAACAATATTTATAGTAAATCATTATTATAACAAGAATATAAGTAAATAAATTAATAATATGAAAAACGATTAACTAGGATCTTTAATGGCAGATAAAAATATCTTTTCACGCAGGATAATCACAGAAACAACATAATTTAAATAAAAATATTAAAAGGGCAAATTAGCGGAAGCTCTGGCGCATATAGCCTTTTAATTGATTTTAAGCAATGCAATTAACATTTATTTCCATACGAAATTTTTCAAATATCCAGTGGCGGATCCAGTAATTTGAAATAGAGCTGGGCCCAGAGAGGGACTTTTACAGATGGAGAGTGTAGCTGGACTACCACCTCAGCCCCACCATGGTTGGGGCTGAGGTAAGAAAATGTATGATTATGACACCTCTAGATTGCGCCGGAAATGGCACTCTCAGACCTAAATTCTAATTCTAATTTTCCTTTGTTTTTTTTTTCCATTTTAAAGAAATAATTTTGAAAAAATTACGGCCGGCTCGACCCCACTTGAATCTGCCACTGATTATTATGCCGTCATTGCGAGACTGCGTCAACGTAACACTGGAGTTTGTAAACTTTTGGTAGGCTTATCACTTAATCGAAATAGGTAGACATCTAGACTGGGTCCAGTCCTTAATCTGTCTTTAAATCTATTTTGGCACCAATGGCGTTCCATATTACCTATTTGCTTGGCGTTTCATAGTATACTTTTTCTTGGATTATCTAATTCGCGATATATACCGTCGCTGGTAGCGCTCTCCAAAATTAACTAATAATTCTAGAGGGAACCTATAATTAAAGACTTGTGGCAAGTCTAGTGAGTTGGCGACTACGGATTGTAAATGGACATAATGTGGACCTGACCTGATCAAAGCTTATTTTTGAGTTTGAGTTTCTATTATCAAACAATTTCTTTTAAAACTACTTTGCGCGCGAGGATGAATAAGGCTGTGTACGTGCTAGCAACTTATGATCTCTTCCCTAAGAGACAGCCCCCCCCCCCGCGCTGTTGGATTTGCAGTCTGGGCGTACGTATCAGGGTTACCATTTGGCCTTTTTGACGGCCAGATTCCTCAAATTTGGCCGTATAAAAATTTGCCTGGCCGTAACGTTTGAAAAGTCACGGCCAAACTATATTTGGCCGAATTTGGCCGAATTTTTGAATTTACATTTTTTTTTCAATACAGGCCTAATATAACAAACTTGTTAGCAATACAATATCGTCACGCACATTTTGTGTTTGTGGTACAGTATTTTAAAGTTGGTTCAACTATTATTGTGTACGTTTTCAAACACTTCAGATCATCATAACTTCATAAGTTCTATTATTGAATGGCAATTGTTATAATCGTGATGGAGTAGACAATACCTGGATTTGCGTCAGGAGAATCAATTAGGGGCCTATATGTATTTTGCCCAACCTGTCGTGAAAATGTATTGAATACTCAGTGCGTGATTCACTAATACACTTTTTGAAGTCACATTTCTAAAGCAATAAAATATCGTCACGCACATTTGTATTTGTGGTATTTTAAAGTTGGTTCAACTATTATTGTGTACGTTTTTAATCACTTCAGATCATCATAACTTCATGAATACATTTTAGATTCACTTCACTGCAAGTAGGTCGATGACTGTTCTATTATTGAATGGTAATTGTTATTATCGTGATGATACAATACCTGGATTTGCGCCAGGAGAATAAATTAGGTGGGGCCTGTGGAATTTTGCCCAACCTGTCGTGAAAATGTACTGAATACTCAGTGCGTGTGAAAACACTTGCAAAATATATTTGCAAGTTGTTCTCCAGTGGGACTCGAACCCACATTCTCCAGATCACTAGCCTGGCATCATGTCTTTAGACCACCGAGCTTGCACCTGATGGCCAGGGTTGAATTCGAGCCAAAGTAAGCAGTGAGTACTATTTTTGCAAATGTTTTTCACATGTACTGAGTATTCAGTACATTTTCACGATGGGTTGGACACAATTCCACCTATATGTTCTATTGATGATGTTGTCAATATTATAATATATCATAGATTCATGAAATGCTTAATAGGCCCTAAACGATAACATGACTTGACCATAGTTTGTTCTCAATATTCTTTAATTTTTTTAACAAAATATTTTTTAGATATTTCTGAGCGTTAATGCCGTACCGTATCTTTTTTAAAAAACCTCAGAACGTATAAGCATTCAGAGTTTCGCCTGAGTAGACCCCACTAGAGGCTCTGTCTCTATGTCCGATCAGGTGCATTTTTACCAATTTTACCTAGGGTCCGGCAGTTATCTATGCCATAGTCACCAACCGTCACGCATCACTTCAAAGTGATATTGGATGAAACTCATTTTGCAGAAACACATGCGAGGTCATAAATGTGTCACGCATTTGCACTTGCGTTATAACGAATTATCACAAAATCACGGGAAAACGTATTTGAAATTAGAAGAAATTGGTTTTATTAAAAATATAAAAACGGTATACAGTAGCTTGAGTCATTAGGGAGCTTTCTTTATCTCGTTCGAGAATCAATTCACAGAGAAAATTTTTCCTTTCCGACCAAAACAACCCAGCCAACCACGCACTTGTAGAATCTAGTAGGCCTAGTCGCGAGCAGTCTTGCGAGTTTATTGTTACAACCAACCGTTTAAAATGTGACGGGAACCCGAACTTCCGCAGGGGTTCCGTAATAATACCGTATACACTCGCGTAGGTCCTATAAGGTGACCCGTGTATAAGACGACCCCCGAGTTTTAGAAGATTTTTGGACGACTCCCTGTTTCATGGTCGGAATTCCTAATTTTTTGTGCTCCTGTATACTGCGTCTAGCTGAATAAATGGAGCCAAATGCAAGGGTACCGTAATCTTCCAAATAATACCATTTTATAAGTTTTTAAATCTTCACCACCAAAATCGTATTTTCCCATATTTAAAATTGCTTTCATTGATACAACATTTAGTTGCTTCATTGCAGTAGTAAGTTCGCGTGTTAAGCTGGTTTTTCACTAAGCGAATTTATTCGCGC